GGGGGGGGGGGGGGTTAAAACCTTTCTGAAGCTTGCTTGAAGCTGATTTGAGTTGTACTGCAGTTAAGTGTCTTACTATCTATAATGAGGCAAAAGTTCCCCCCTCCCCGGAAGAACCATATTTTTAACTTTAAATACTCCTTCAGAGCAAGAATGGTTTTTTCCCAACTTGAAGCAATAAGTGGATTAAAGTTGCTGGTTCAGCTTGTAAAACTATTTATTCTTGGTAGCAGAATTGTTGAATGGAGTCTTGCTGGTTGAAAAACTGCTTATTTTGTTGAAGGAATCTTACATTTTAAGTGTTTTCTGATTGCTAGTGTGCCTTGTTGTTCCTAGATACAAAGGCTTGGGAGGTGGACACATTGAGAGGCCACATGAACAATGTTTCATGTGTTTTGTTTCATCCAAGGCAAGATATTATTGTTTCAAATTCAGAGGATAAGAGCATTCGAGTATGGGATGCTACAAAAAGGACTGGTCTTCAGACTTTCCGCAGGGAGCATGATAGGTTTTGGATCCTTGCATGTCATCCTGAGATGAATCTTCTAGCGGCTGGTCATGATAGTGGGATGATAGTATTCAAGCTGGAGAGAGAACGTCCTGCTTTTTCTGTGAGTAGTGATTCTTTGTTTTATGTAAAGGATCGCTTTCTCCGAGTGTATGAGTATTCAACTCAGAAGGACACACAGTTGATACCAATTAGAAGGCCCGGTTCAAACAGTGTGAACCAAGGTCCACGAACACTTTCATATAGTCCTACAGAAAATGCTATCTTGATATGTTCTGACACGGATGGCGGTTCCTATGAACTTTATGTTGTACCTAAAGATAGTTATGGTAGGGGTGATACTGTTCAAGATGCAAAAAGAGGAAGCGGAGGGTCAGCTGTATTTGTTGCCCGAAACAGGTTTGCGGTGCTTGAGAAGAGCACTAATCAATTCCTGGTCAAGAATCTCAAAAATGAAATTGTCAAGAAAAGCCTTCTTCCTATGGCTACTGATGCAATATTTTATGCTGGCACCGGAAACTTACTATGCAGGGCAGAGGATAGAGTTGTCATTTTTGATCTCCAGCAGAGAATTATTCTTGGGGAACTTCAGACTTCTTTTGTCAGGTATGTTGTTTGGTCACCTGATATGGAAAGTGTCGCTTTGCTTAGCAAGCATTCCATAGTTATAGCTGATAAGACGCTTGTGCACCGCTGCACCCTTCATGAGACTATTCGTGTCAAGAGCGGTGGCTGGGATGACAATGGTGTATTCATATATACAACACTTACCCACATTAAGTACTGTCTTCCCAACGGGGATTGTGGAATCATCAAAACCCTGGATGTCCCTGTCTATATTACAAAAATATATGGGAACACTATCTTTTGCTTGGATCGAGATGGAAAAAACCGTCCTATTATTATTGATTCAACTGAATATGTTTTCAAGTTGTGTCTGCTTAGAAAGAGATACGACCAAGTTATGAGTATGATAAGGAACTCGGAGCTCTGCGGTCAAGCCATGATTGCATATTTGCAGCAGAAGGGTTTTCCAGAAGTTGCTCTTCATTTTGTGAAGGATGAGCGCACTCGTTTCAACTTAGCACTTGAAAGTGGGAATATTGAGATAGCTCTTGAATCTGCCAAAAAGATTGATGAAAAAGATCATTGGTATAGGCTTGGTGTGGAAGCCCTTCGGCAGGGTAATGCAGGTATTGTTGAATATGCCTACCAGAAGACGAAGAATTTTGAGAGGTTGTCTTTCCTATATCTAATAACAGGAAACTTGGAAAAGTTATCTAAAATGATGAAAATTGCTGAGGTAAAAAATGATGTAATGGGTCAGTTCCACGATGCATTGTACCTTGGTGATGTCCGTGAGCGTGTTAAAATTTTGGAAAATGCTGGTCATCTGCCCCTTGCATACATCACAGCTACTGCCCACGGGCTCAATGATACTGCTGAGCATCTTGCAGAGGAACTGGGAGATAATGTTCCATCATTGCCAAAGGGGAAGAAAGCTTCACTATTGCTGCCCCCAACTCCCATCTTGGGTGGTGGTGACTGGCCCTTGTTGATGGTGACGAAAGGGATATTTGAAGGTGGTCTGGACATTGCAGGCAGGGGAGGACAAGAGGAATATGAAGAGGCGGCAGATGCAGACTGGGGTGAGTCATTGGACATTGGTGAGGTGGAAAATCTTCAGAATGGGGACATCAGTATGGTGCTTGGTGATGAGGAAGGGCAAGAAGGAAATGATGATGAGGAGGTGGGATGGGATCTTGAGGATCTGGATCTGCCACCTGATACCGACACACCAAAGACTACTTCCAATGCTCGCTCTTCTGTGTTTGTCACCCCAACACCTGGCATGCCTGTGAGCCAGATTTGGGTCCAAAAATCATCTCTAGCTGCTGAACATGCAGCTGCTGGCAATTTTGACACTGCTATGCGGTTGCTGAGCCGACAACTAGGGATTAGGAATTTCTCACCTTTAAAAGCATCGTTTATTGATCTTCATGTGGGAAGCCACACTCATCTGCTTGCCTTCTCCTCAATGCCAGTCATCTCTGTGGCGATTGAGAGAGGTTGGAGCGAGTCAGCTAGTCCTAATGTTCGAGGTCCACCTGCTCTTATATTCAATTTTTCTCAGTTGGAGGAAAAACTTAAAGCTGCTTATAAGGCGACAACTGGTGGGAAATTTTCTGATGCTCTTAGACTATTTTTGAGCATCCTTCACACCATTCCTCTGATTGTGGTTGAGTCGAGGCGGGAAGTGGATGAGGTCAAGGAACTGATTGTCATAGTGAAGGAGTATGTTTTGGGTTTGCAAATGGAGCTTAAGAGAAAGGAATTGAAAGATAATCCCATTCGTCAGCAGGAGCTGGCTGCCTATTTCACACACTGTAATCTGCAGATTCCTCACTTGAGACTCGCATTACAGAATGCTATGTCTATCTGCTACAAGGCAGGAAATCTTAGCTCAGCCTCCAACTTTGCTAGGAGACTCTTGGAGACCAATCCAACCAATGAAAGCCAAGCCAGAACAGCCCGCCAGGTTCTGCAGGCAGCTGAGAAGAATATGCGAGATATTTCACAGTTAAATTATGATTTCAGAAATCCTTTTGTCGTCTGTGGGGCAACATATGTCCCGATATACCGGGGCCAGAAGGATGTCACTTGTCCTTACTGTGGTACTCATTTTGTACTGTCCCAGCAAGGGCAGCTTTGTACTGTTTGTGATCTTGCAGTTGTTGGAGCAGATGCGTCTGGCTTGCTTTGTTCGCCAGCACAGATAAGGTGATTTCAGCTTCTCGTGCAGTTATATTCAGCCATGTCATTAGATGATTCTAAATCTACGTCTTAGAAGTTTAGGCATGGTGATCAAGGACATGCTTTCTATGCGATTGTATCTGTGGTTTATATTTGTTTCGATAGTTTTGCAATCAGTTTTTACAGACTTTTGCCCTCGTTATTTAGTCTTTTTGTGGCTAAATTTTTTTATTGTAATAAACATGTAAGATTTTGACTTCAACCAATTTTTTGAAGTGTGGTGACCGAGTACGCTAGGTATATAAATTGCAAAACCCCTCCGGACCTGAACGCTGACTCTGTCATTATATGTTTCCATAGCCCCGTGCTCCAGGTTTCCTTAGCAGGTAGAAGCTGGAATACTTTTTGATTGCCATTGTTATTTTGGCCTGAAATTTAAATGAAGATATCAGATAAATGTGAAGGTTCTTAAGAATTTGAATTTCCTTTTTCAGTTATCAATGTCCATTCATGTGCATTCTAGTTTTGTTTCTATACAAAATTTGGCAATTTTGTTAGATGAATCAAGCTTATACATATGGGCTCCTGGAGCATTCTGCCTTATGTTTCGCCCTCTCTCGTGCAAAGGTGCTCCATCACCAAGGCCCCTTTGCTATATTTTTACTTGGGCTGTTTGGCCACATAACCCACTTTTAAACTTGAATTGCTAATTAACCTTCAAGTTCTAATTATTGTAAGATGGAGAATTTTTTGAAATGACTATTGTTTGGAGGTTTATTGCAAGTCGTAGTTATAGTTTAGCTAATACATTATGTAGCTACTAATTGCTTGACGTAGCCTCCTTGTGATCTCAAACATGGCTCAAATAGTTCACAACAATGATACAAATATGAGAAACATTATAACTTAAAGCTTAACAGTCAACCCTAGGCACATCATAGCCTAAGCACTACCCCGAGCATGGATAATTACCTCGGTGCTCGCATATGGGCTCAAACCCCACATGTATGCGCACCCATAGCACATAGCTATCACAAATAATTCATGCAAATAGTGCCTCAATCAAGTTTAGATAAAATACTTATCTCAAACAACCCAAGCAATCTTCTATAAGCTCCACCCCGCACAAATCGACCTCCGAACGGCTCGAAACTAGCCAAAAAAACTTAAAACATTAGATAATGCCATATGAGACAAACCCAAATGATAAAGATTGAATCTTTAATCAATTACACAAAGTCAACCAAAAAATCAAATCCAGGCCCGCACCTCGGAACCTGAAAAAACTTACAAATTTCGACAACCCATTCAATTACGAGTCCAACCATACCAATTTCACTCAATTTCGACTCCGAATCGATGTTCAAGACCCAAATATTCACTTTAGGAGAGTTTAGACAAAAAATCTCAATTTCTCTTTGAAATCATCAATCAAATGCCAAAATCGAACATGTAATCATGGAATAAAATAAAAGACGAATAGTAAACACTTATCCAAATCCATATGGTGAAAATCGCCTCAAAAATCATCCAAATCCGAGCCCCATAGCTCAAAATATGATAAAATAACTCAAGGGCCCGAAATAGAGTACTTATAATCACTGCTCAGATATATGAATCGCGATCGCGAAGAAGAAAAAATCACACTGCCCTGGGATACTCTATGCGTTCGCGAGTCTACTCATGTGAACGCGATGCCTACAAATGCCACCGATCCGCGAACGCGACCAACTCCACGTGAACGCGAAAGAGGATTCACCAACTCCCAGTTGCCTAACTCAACACTACGCGACCGTGATTCCACTTACGCGAACACAATTCTCAAGTCCCCAACACTTACGCGAACTCAGTCCCCAAGATGCGAATACGATGAAGAAAGTGCCTAGCTCCAGATTTGGCCTATGCGATTGCGTCTATATCTTCGTGATCAGGAAGAATAACTGTGACACCAGCAGTAAACCAGCTATGCATGGAGCTTCGAAATGATCCAAAATACATCCGAAACTCACCCAAGCCCCTCGGAATCCCGTCCAAACATCCAGCAAGTTCCAAAACATTACACAGACCTACTCAAGGCCTCAAATCACACATAACAACATCAAAATCACGAATCGCACCTCAAATCAAACTTTATGAACTTTCAACTTCCAAAACTCATGCCGAACCATATCAACTCAAACCGGAATGACCTCAAATTTTGCACACAAGTTCCAAATGACATAATGAAGTTATTCCAATATCCAGAACTATAGTCCGAACTTATTCCTATCTCCAGAACCATAGTCCAAAACTCTTGCCGAACCATAACAACTCAAACTGGAATGATCTCAAATTTTGTACACAAGTTCCAAATGACATAACGAAGTTATTCCAATCTACGGAACCATAGTCCGAACCTGATATCATCAAAGTTAACTCCCGTCAAACCTATGAACTTTCCAAATCTTCAAATTACCAACTTTCGCCAATTAACGCCAAAACCTTCAAGAAACATCCAAATGTAAATCCGGTCATACGCACAAGTCCAAAATCACCATCCGAACCTAACAGAACCATCAAAACTTCGATCCGGTCTCAAAACACAAAAGTCAAACTTGGTCAACTCTTCCACCTTAAAGCTTCTAACATGAGATTCATTCTTCCAAATCAATTCCGAATCACCTGAAAACCAAAACTCACGATTCATACAAGTCATAATACATCATACAGAGCTACTCAAGGTTTCAAACAACTAAACAGAATGCAAATGCTCAAACGACTGGTCGGGTCGTTAAATCGTGAGTTCAAATAAACAAACCACTTTAGTGGTAACTATTTATTACTCAGAAAATTCTCAATTTACGAGTGAAGATACATGTGGCTCATAAAATTATTTTATGAAAGAATACGGACAATAACTTAAAATACATATCAAAAATATAAAAATCATACAAAATACCGTCATATTTCACTTAATTACAACCTCTAACTAGAGAACAAAAATCTTTCTTTGAAAATCCAAGACTAGTTGTCACGACCCCAATTTCCCACCTTAGGATGTCGTGATGACACCTATTCTCTAAGACTAGGTAAGCCTAACATATATTGAGAAATAGTAGAAATAATAATAAAACCTCAATTTAAACAATTAAACTATCACAATAAAACTCAACAGTACATCTGTCAACAACTCCCTAAAACCTGGTGGAACCGAGTCATAAGCTCTATAAGGATGTATGAATAGTCTCGAATACAATATTGTTTTGGAACATGAAATAAACAATAGAACATCTAAAAACAGAAGGTGACTTCGAGGCCTGCGAACATCGAGGAAGTGTACCTTGAAGTCTCTGAAAGTAGCTAATCAATCAATAGCGTCAGTCACGGGATGATGTATCTGGATCTGCACAAAAATGTGAAGAAACATAGTATGAGTACACTATAATGGTACCCAGTAAGTATCAAACCTAACCTCGGTAGATTAGTACAAGTCTAGGTCAAGACACCTACTAGGATAAAAGACAATAAACAAGGTAGTACAATCAAATAATCGAAATCGAGAAAATAAATGACAGTAAAGCAGTTCCGAAATGTAAGTTAGCAACGGATCTAAAGAAAAAATGGTAACAAGGAATGAACACATGTTAAGAAAATCAAGAAATCAATACAGACAATTACAAGTGAAACAAATAAGGAAATAACAAAACAGTGCAACCAACAAGCCTCTTTAACATAGAGTGTGCAACAAGAATCACAACCGAGATACTGCCCCGTTTCCATATTTCACGGCCTCAATCACAATCTGTCCTTATATCACACTGTGAGCCTTACATTTAGTTTTGAAAATCATTTTTCCTGAAATAGCTACACGCATTTTAGTCCCCTTATCTCACCGCGTGACTTCAAGTAATTTTCTTATTAGCAACACGCGTATAAGTTCCCACCTTATCCCACCGCATGCGTATCAACCCCTATCCTTATACCACCACATGCGTATCAATGTCACAACACAATAACACCTCACACCACGATTGCTTATATGCCACGACTTGCCAAAATCAGCAATACCAATATTTTCACAACAATTAGCCCATGGATCAGTCACAATGTGTACAGTAATCTCAATAACAACAAAAGGAATGAGGGATACTCATCAAGGGAAGATACCGCAACAATTAACAACTTTACCTCAATGTGATAAAAACTCTTACAACTCCAACACCAATAACTGTCACGACCCAAAATCCAGCTAGTCGCGATAACACCTAACCTGACCCGCTTGGTAAGCCAAATGATAGATAATACAACTGGAATAGGATAACAAGAATCAAAACTGAAATTTCTATACAAAATCCCAAGGATTGGTAGTACAAGTCATGAGCTTCTAAGACTTACAATTTACAAAGCTAGTATAAAATAAATACATCATTTGTTCGAAATATACATAAGCAGATTTATAAATCTAAAGCTACCAAGAACAAGAAGCAGCTATATCGCAACGCATGTGCATCTTCAATGCCCGCTCCCGCCATACACAACAACACCAGCTCCCGCCATACACAACAACACCAGCTCCAAAATCTGCATACAAAGTGCAGGAGTGTAGTATGAGTACAACCGATCCCATGTACTCAACAAATAACAAACCTAACCTTAGGTTGAAAGTAGTGACAAGCTCAAAAAACTGATAGAGTCCAACACCAATAGCCAAAAATAGCTCGTAACAATATAATTAAAGCAGTACAAGTAATAACTCAAAAGATATTATACTCAGCTCGTTCGCACCTACGGAAAAATTGACACTCTTTTCAAGTATAACAGTAAAACCCAAATCTTTCGCTTGAATCACCAAAATATGAGTACATAAGAAAACTGTGATCTTTCCCAAATTTTCAACAACAAATAAGATATTTCATTATTAGAAAGCATGGCGAAAGTACATCTTTATACCTACATATCAATATGCATGTCAAGTCATCAATTATCATATACTGTCTAGCATGAGGAATATACATCTCAATTTCTATATGTCTGTATACGGTAAAATTGGAGGGTCCGATTTTCCGTCGTTGTGATGCTTCGTAATTATATTTCACAGGTTCGAGGCTAGGGTCGAGGTTCGCCATCAAAGTCTATCGATGCTCGACCTCGGGGCAGTGCAGATCAACGACTATGATGAAAAAGTGGGGAGTTCCCAAGGCGCATAACTAGGGCTGACATAGTCTAGTGAGCTAAATTCAGACCCGAATCATGACATCAACTAGCTGTCCCATCTCCATATCTTTGTAATAAATGTA